AGAATATTTGGCAGTTCAACTAAAACATACATGGGTGAATTTTCAGAATTTATATAATTAAATTTTTTAAAAATATATTTTATTGATTTTTTACAGAGGAAAGGAGAGGGATAGAGAGCCAGAAATATCAATGAGAGTGAAACATTGATCAGCTGTCTCCTGCACGCCCCCCACTGGTGATGTGCCTGCAACCAAGGTACATACTCTTGACCGGAATAGAACCCAGGACTCTTGAGTCCGAGGGCCGACACTATCCACTGAGCCAAACCGGTTCTGGCTATAATTAAATTTTTGCTCAATGATTTATTTTAGTTAATTTAATAAAGAAAATGTTATCTTCAAAATAAACTACTTGAAATGTCCAATTAGTATTCACTAATCATGATTCTAATTCATACATTCACTATTAATTTACCCTGTGTGTAACAGTAAGGGATTTAGAAGTTATAAAAACACATCAGATGTGGATTTGGCCCTCATTATAATTTAGAAGAGTAGATATTACATGTAAATGATAAAAATAATGGCATGATCATACCAATATTTATACAGTATTACTGCCAGACACTAAAGCATTTTTGGGCATAATTTATTCTCTTAATCCTCACACTACCTTATAAGGTAGGCAGTTTTATTTTACAGAAAAGGAATGAGGCACAGAGAATTGAAGTGATGTGCTCAGGGTCACACAGGTAGGAAGTGTTGGAGCTAGGATTTGAATCCAGGCATTTTGGTTCTAGAGTTCATGGTCATTAAGGGCTACACCTTTGCCTCTCTCTAAATTGTTCTACTCAGTGGGGGAGATGACAAAGGCTATCATGTTGTGAATCTAGTCATATTGAGAATTCAGAGAAAAGGAAAATTACCTTCAGTGGAAAGATGTAAAACTATCCTGGAGGGTGGATATTTGGGCAAGAACATGGAGAAAAAACAGGCTTAAGCAGATAAGAAAGAGAAAAGGGGAAGGGAGTCCAAGACAAAGGCCTGGTTGTGGGAAAGCTTTAGAATGTGGAGGGTGTGGTTCCAGCAGGAAGACATAAAAGGGCGGACTGAAAATCAAGCTTTGAAACAGAGACGGGGGTCAGTGCCTTGTCAGCTTTGAATAGCATGCTGAGGAATTCAGATTTTATTTTATAAGCTGACATGCCATTACGCTTCTCTGAGTTGATATCAGAAGTGTGTTCCAGGTTGTTAGCTGGCAGCAGCATTTAGGAGGAATGGTTGGCTACAAAAGGGGAAAATACTGAAGGTGAAAGGATGAGTTTGGGAAAATAAAACCACCCCAAAATCAAACTGGAGGGAAAACGTAAAGGAGAACTTAACTGATGTGGTGAGAATGGGGATTCAGTTATTCATGGGAACAGAGGGAAGAAGGTGCCGAATCAAGAAAATTGTGACACTGATTATTTGTGAGGCAAAAAAGAATAAAGTGTCAAAGACAATGTGAAGGTTCTAGGCCTGGGTGACTGGGAAGGTGATTGTGTTTGGAAAGAAATATATATGGTGGCTAAGTCTGGGGAACATTCTGATATCTCTGCTTAGAAACCTCCCCACCCCTAGCTCATCCTTCATGTCTCAGCTCAGGATTGGCATCCATGACTCTTCCCATCAATCCCTACACTAAGAAAGGTTTTCATCTTATTTGCATGTTATTTACTTGTATGAAATTCTGAGCTTTCCTTCATCACATTCATCAACTCTATTTTGAATAATTCTGTAATTCATTTGTTGAATGTGTCTTACTAGCTAGTTTGTAAGTTGTATGAAAACAAGGATCATAATGATCGTATTCATGATTGCTTGTCCATCCCCTAGTATTGTACCTGGCAATAGTAGGTAACCAATAAATGTATTGCGAAGAAATGAGGTAAAAAAAAATGAGTATGAGAAGGAGAGAGGAAGTGAGAAAGGATAGAGTGAGTCCGTTTTTGGATATACTGAGTGAAAGTTGTCTATACAACATCTAATCCAAATCTAGCTTTGTAGTAGTTAATACACTCTGTAGTGAGAAAAATAAAAGAAGAAGAAGTTTCGTGTCTTTCAAATCCCAATATCTAATTTTTTCTTATTAAATATAATTTACATAAATGTATAGTTTAACTAATTCTTATAAAACACATATTCATTCCCAAATTCCAAGTTAAAGCACATCTTATCATAAGACCTTGGTAGGAGAAGAAATAGAGAAAAACTAATCTACTGACCTGAAGAATTTACAAATGATGATGATAATACTAAAATAGCTGCCA